AGTGGTGGTGGTGGGGGGTGACGTGGTAGTGGTGGTGGTGGGGGGGTGATGTGGTAGTGGTGGGGGGGTGACGTGGTGGTGGTGGTGGTGGGGTGACGTGGTAGTGGTGGTGGGGGGGTGACGTGGTAGTGGTGGTGGGGTGAAGTGGTAGTGGTGGTGGTGGTGGGGGGGGGTGACGTGGTAGTGGTGGTGGGGGGGTGACGTGGTGGTGGTGGTGGTGGGGTGACGTGGTAGTGGTGGTGGGGGGGTGACGTGGTAGTGGTGGTGGGGGGGTGACGTGGTAGTGGTGGTGGTGGTGGGGGGGGGGTGACGTGGTAGTGGTGGTGGGGGGGTGACGTGGTGGTGGTGGTGGTGGGGTGACGTGGTAGTGGTGGTGGGGGGGTGACGTGGTAGTGGTGGTGGGGGGGTGACGTGGTAGTGGTGGTGGTGGGGGGGTGACGTGGTGGTAGTGGTGGGGGGGTGACGTGGTAGTGGTGGTGGGGGGGTGACGTGGTAGTGGTGGTGGGGGGGTGACGTGGTAGTGGTGGTGGGGGGGTGACGTGGTAGTGGTGGTGGTGGGGGGGTGACGTGGTGGTGGTGGTGGGGGGGTGACGTGGTAGTGATGGTGTAGTAGCGGTTACCACGCAACTGCTGCCGAGCTCCAAACCCTAAAGAGACCCGAGTTTGATTCCCGCTCACGGCCGACACCACCCCGCTGGCGATTATCTGAACCCGGATAATGGGCCTCCCCTAGGTCGACTCGGCCTACACTGGTGCAGCGGTGCGTAAAAACATCGCCACTCGGGAAGACAAAGACGGCCGGGCGCGGTGCTGGCCACCCACCCCCCCCCCCCCCGTGTGCCGTGCCGGCCTTCTCTGTGAGCTATAGATCCTGCTCACTAACGGGACGTGCACCGGCAGTCCGACGTATTCATTCGCCATTTTACGTGTTCCGTGATGTCTGCAAGTGGCAGGGTGGGGTGGGTGGGGTGGGTGGGGTGGGTGGGTGGGTTGGGTGTTTGGGGTGGGTGGGTGGGGTGTTTGGGGTGGGGTGTTTGGGGTGGGTGGGTGGGGTGTTTGGGGTGGGTGGGTGGGGTGGGTGGGGTGTTTGGGGTGGGTGGGTGGGGTGTGTGGGGTGGGTGCGTGGGTGGGGTGTTTGGGGTGGGTGGGGTGTTTGGGGTGGGTGGGTGGGGTGTGTGGGGTGGGTGGGGTGTTTGGGGTGGGTGGGGTGTTTGGGGTGGGTGGGTGGGGTGTGTGGGTGGGCTGTTTGTGGTGTGTGGGTGGGCTGTTTGGGGTGGGTGGGTGGGGTGTGTGGGTGGGCTGTTTGGGGTGGGTGGGGTGTTTGGGGTGGGTGGGTGGGGTGTTTGGGGTGGGTGGGTGGGGTGTTTGGGGTGGGTGGGGTGTTTGGGGTGGGTGGGTGGGGTGTTTGGGGTGGGTGGGTGGGGTGTTGGGGTGGGTGGGTGGGGTGTTGGGGTGGGTGGGTGGAGTGTTTGGGGTGGGTGGGTGGGGTGTTTGGGGTGGGTGGGTGGGGTGTTGGGGTGGGTGGGTGGGGTGGGGTGTTGGGGTGGGTTAGTGGGTGGGTGGCGTGTTTGGGGTGGGTGGGTGGGGTGGAGGGGTGGGTGGGGTGGGTGGGTGGGGTGGGGGGGGTGGGGTGGGGTGGGTGGGTGGCGTGTTTGGGGTGGGTGGGTGGGGTGTTTGGGGTGGGTGGGTGGGTGGGGTGTTTGGGGTGGGTGGGTGGGCTGTTTGGGGTGGGTGGGCTGTTTGGGGTGGGTGGGTGGGTGGGGTGTTTGGGGTGGGTGGGGTGTTTGGGGTGGGTGGGTGGGTGGGGTGTTTGGGGTGGGTGGGTGGGTGGGGTGTTTGGGGTGGGTGGGTGGGGTGTGTGGGTGGGTGGGGTGTGTGGGTGGGCTGTTTGGGGTGTGTGGGTGGGCTGTTTGGGGTGGGTGGGGTGTTTGGGGTGGGTGGGTGGGTGGGGTGTTTGGGGTGTGTGGGTGGGCTGTTTGGGGTGGGTGGGGTGTTTGGGGTGGGTGGGTGGGTGGGGTGTTTGGGGTGGGTGGGTGGGGTGTTGGGGTGGGTGGGTGGGGTGTTGGGGTGGGTGGGTGGGGTGGGGTGTTGGGGTGGGTTAGTGGGTGGGTGGCGTGTTTGGGGTGGGTGGGTGGGGTGGAGGGGTGGGTGGGTGGGGTGGAGGGGTGGGTGGGGTGGGGGGGTGGGGTGGGGTGGGTGGGTGGCGTGTTTGGGGTGGGTGGGTGGGGTGGAGGGGTGGGTGGGGTGGAGGGGTGGGTGGGGTGGGTGGGTGGGGTGGGGGGGTGGGGTGGGGGGGTGGGGTGGGTGGGTGGGGTGGGGGGGTGGGTGGGGAGCGGTGGGTGGGGAGAGGTGGTTGAGGAGCGGTGGGCGGGGAGCGGTGGGCGGGGAGCGGTGGGTGGGGAGCGGTGGGCGGGGAGCGGTGGGTGGAGAGCGGTGGGTGGGGAACGGTGGGCGGGGGGGGTGGGTGGAGAGCGGTGGGTGGAGAGCGGTGGCTGAGGAGCGGTGGGTGGGGAGCGGTGGGCGGGGAGCGGTGGGTGGGGAGCGGTGGGCGGGGAGCGGTGGGTGGGGAGCGGTGGGTGGGGAGCGGTGGGGCAAGAGTGCCGTTAGCGGGCACCTCTAGCTCACAAAGACAAAGATCCCCATATAGCCTCAACAGACTGTTGGGGCAAGTGCTGTTAGCAGGCACCTACAGCTCAAAAAGACAAAGATACCCCGTATTGCCTCAACAGACTGTTGGGAGGCAAGTGCTGTTAGCAGGCACCTACAGCTCACAAAGACAAAGATCCCCTGTAGGGCATCAACAGACTGTTGGGGGGCAAGTGCTGTTAGCAGGCACCTACAGCTCACACAGACAAAGATCCCCCGTATAGCCTCAACAGACTGTTGGGGGGCAAGTGCTGTTAGCAGGCACCTACAGCTCACAAAGACAAACATCCCCCGTAGGGCATCAACAGACTGTTGGGGGGCAAGTGCTGTTAGCAGGCACCTACAGCTCACAAAGATGAAGATCCCCCATAGGGCATCAACAGACTGTTGGGGGGCAAGTGCTGTTAGCAGGCACCTACAGCTCACAAAGACAAAGATCCCCCCCGTATAGCCTCAACAGACTGTTGGGGGGCAAGTGCTGTTAGCAGGCACCTACAGCTCACAAAGACAAAGATCCCCCGTATAGCCTCAACAGACTGTTGGGGGGCAAGTGCTGTTAGCAGGCACCTACAGCTCACAAAGACAAAGATCCCCCGTAGGGCATCAACAGACTGTTGGGGGGCAAGTGCTGTTAGCAGGCACCTACAGCTCACAAAGACAAAGATCCCCTGTAGGGCATCAACAGACTGTTGGGGGGCAAGTGCTGTTAGCAGGCACCTACAGCTCACAAAGACAAAGATCCCCCGTATAGCCTCAACAGACTGTTGGGGGGCAAGTGCTGTTAGCAGGCACCTACAGCTCACACAGACAAAGATCCCCCGTATAGCCTCAACAGACTGTTGGGGGGCAAGTGCTGTTAGCAGGCACCTACAGCTCACAAAGACAAAGATCCCCCGTATAGCCTCAACAGACTGTTGGGGGGCAAGTGCTGTTAGCAGGCACCTACAGCTCACACAGACAAAGATCCCCCGTAGGGCATCAACAGACTGTTGGGAGGCAAGTGCTGTTAGCAGGCACCTACAGCTCACACAGACAAAGATCCCCCGTATAGCCTCAACAGACTGTTGGGGGGGCAAGTGCTGTTAGCAGGCACCTACAGCTCACACAGACAAAGATCCCCTGTATAGCCTCAACAGACTGTTGGGGGGCAAGTGCTGTTAGCAGGCACCTACAGCTCACAAAGACAAAGATCCCCCGTATAGCCTCAACAGACTGTTGGGGGGCAAGTGCTGTTAGCAGGCACCTACAGCTCACAAAGACAAAGATCCCCCGTAGGGCATCAACAGACTGTTGGGAGGCAAGTGCTGTTAGCAGGCACCTACAGCTCACAAAGACAAAGATCCCCCGTATAGCCTCAACAGACTGTTGGGGGGGCAAGTGCTGTTAGCAGGCACCTACAGCTCACAAAGACAAGGATCCCCCGTAGGGCATCAACAGACTGTTGGGAGGCAAGTGCTGTTAGCAGGCACCTACAGCTCACACAGACAAAGATCCCCCGTATAGCCTCAACAGACTGTTGGGGGGGCAAGTGCTGTTAGCAGGCACCTACAGCTCACACAGACAAAGATCCCCTGTATAGCCTCAACAGACTGTTGGGGGGCAAGTGCTGTTAGCAGGCACCTACAGCTCACAAAGACAAAGATCCCCCGTATAGCCTCAACAGACTGTTGGGGGGCAAGTGCTGTTAGCAGGCACCTACAGCTCACAAAGACAAAGATCCCCCGTAGGGCATCAACAGACTGTTGGGAGGCAAGTGCTGTTAGCAGGCACCTACAGCTCACAAAGACAAAGATCCCCCGTATAGCCTCAACAGACTGTTGGGGGGGCAAGTGCTGTTAGCAGGCACCTACAGCTCACACAGACAAAGATCCCCTGTATAGCCTCAACAGACTGTTGGGGGGCAAGTGCTGTTAGCAGGCACCTACAGCTCACAAAGACAAAGATCCCCCGTATAGCCTCAACAGACTGTTGGGGGGCAAGTGCTGTTAGCAGGCACCTACAGCTCACAAAGACAAAGATCCCCCGTAGGGCATCAACAGACTGTTGGGAGGCAAGTGCTGTTAGCAGGCACCTACAGCTCACACAGACAAAGATCCCCCGTATAGCCTCAACAGACTGTTGGGGGGCAAGTGCTGTTAGCAGGCACCTACAGCTCACAAAGACAAAGATCCCCCGTATAGCCTCAACAGACTGTTGGGGGGGCAAGTGCTGTTAGCAGGCACCTACAGCTCACAAAGACAAAGATCCCCCGTAGGGCATCAACAGACTTTAAGTGTGAGTAGCAGCACTTCACCACCACCACCACCACCGCCCACCGCCCACCACCCACCACCCAAGCGTCTGAAGCCACTCACCGCCGGCGCTCGCCACGGCCTGGCTGAGCGTGGTTTCCCCGGACTGTGCCGCCACAATGGCCGTGCCATCGCCACCGACCGCCGAGGCGGGGAAATAAGCAAACCGCGTCTCCCCGCCCGACTCCTCCTCAGCGCTCTCGCCCGTGCTGAACGCCCCCTGGATGACCGCCTGCGGGGCGACGGGAGAGAGACAGAGAGAGAGACGGAGAGACGGACAGATGGAGAGAGGGGAGATGGAGAGAGGACGGAGAGAGAGAGAGAGGAGAGATGGAGAGAGGAGAAAGAGAGAGAGGAGAGATGGAGAGATGGAGAGAGAGAGAGGGAGAGATGGAATACAGAGGGCAGGGAGAGATGAGAGAGAGAGAGGAGAGATGGAGAGAGAGAGAGATGGAATACAGAGGGCAGGGAGAGATGAGAGAGAGGAGAGATGGAGAGAGAGAGATGGAAGATAGAGGACAGGGAGAGATGAGAGAGAGGAGAGATGGAGAGATGGAAGATAGAGGACAAGGAGAGATGAGAGAGAGGAGAGAGAGGAGAGATGGAGAGAGAGAGAGGGAGAGATGGAATACAGAGGGCAGGGAGAGATGAGAGAGAGGAGAGAGGAGAGATGGAGAGAGAGGAGAGATGGAGAGATGGAAGATAGAGGACAGGGAGAGATGAGAGAGAGGAGAGATGGAGAGATGGAAGATAGAGGACAGGGAGAGATGAGAGAGAGGAGAGAGAGGAGAGATGGAGAGAGAGAGAGGGAGAGATGGAATACAGAGGGCAGGGAGAGATGAGAGAGAGGAGAGAGGAGAGATGGAGAGAGAGAGATGGAAGATAGAGGACAGGGAGAGATGAGAGAGAGGAGAGAGGAGAGATGGAGAGAGAGAGGGAGAGATGGAAGATAGAGGACAGGAAGAGATGAGAGAGAGGAGAGAGAGGAGAGATGGAGAGAGAGGGAGAGATGGAATACAGAGGGCAGGGAGATATGAGAGAGAGGAGAGAGAGAGAGGAGATATGGAAAGAGGAGAGAGAGAGGGAGAGATGGAATACAGAGGACGGAGAAATGAGAGAGAGGAGAGAGAGAGGAGATATGGAAAGAGGAGAGAGAGAGAGGGAGAGATGGAGGACAGAGGGCAGGGAGAGATGAGAGAAGGGAGAAGAGAGACGAGAGGGGAGATAGACAGGACAGGGAGAGGGGAGATAGAGGAGAGACGGAGAGAGGAGAGAGACACATGAGCGATGAGATAGAGAGGAGAGAGGGAGAGGAGAGAGAGGAAACTGCATGTTCTCTCATCCACGTCTGAGTGTGTTGACGTTGAGCGTGTCGCGCTAACCGCTACCACTTTGTACACACAAAGGCAAAAGATTCCCCCCGTAATAGCCTCCGTGGATTATTGGGGCAAGTGCTGTTAGCGAGCAGCACCTATGAAGGCTGGCACAGCACACAAGGGGTGGGTGGTCAGCACCACGCCCGGCCGCCTTTGTCTCCCCAGTGCCAATGTTTATCGCACACCGACCGCACCGGGTACTCGTTGGAGGCCCAGGACCGGTTCAGATAACCGTCACCGGTACTGGCCGTGAGCGGGAATGGATCACACAGACACGCACACACAGAGACACGCACGCACGCACACACAGAGACACGCACGCACGCACGCACAGACACGCACACACAGAGACACGCACACATACACACAGACAGAGACACGCATGCACGCACACAGGCACGCACACACAGACACGAGGACAAAGATCCCCCATATAGCCTTAACTGACTGTAGGGGAAAGTGCTGTCATGAAGGCCAGAACGGTACACGAGGGGGTGGGTGGACAGCACCACGCCCGACTGCCTTTGTCTCCCCAGTGGCAATGTTTACACACCGCACCAGGTACTCATTTGAGGCTGAGTCGACCTAGGGGAGGCCCGGGACCGGTTCAGATAATCGTCACTGGTGTTGGCCGTGAGCGGGAATCGAACCCGGGTCGCTGTGGGTGTACAACGCAGTGCGCTAACCGCTACACCACCGCTCCCCACAACGCGCACACACACACACAGACACGCAAACACGCACACAAAGACACGCACTCACGCGCACACACACGCACACATAGACACGCACACACGCACACACAAGCACACGCACACACGCGCACACAGCCACACACGCACACACGCGAACACACACGCACACACGCGAACACACACGCACACACGCGAACACACACGCACACAAAGACACGCACACACACGCACACATAGACACGCACACACACAAACACACACGCACACACGCACACAAACACGCACGCACACGCGCACACACACACACAAACACGCACGCACACACAAACACACACACAAACACACAAACACACACACGCACACAAACACACAGCCACACACCTGCACAAACACACACGCACGCACACAAACACGCACACACACACACAAACACACACACACGCACACACACACACAAACACACACACACACAAACACGCACGCACACACAAACACACACACAAACACACACACAAACACACACAAACACACACACAGCCACACACCTGCGTGACCGTCTGGTTGGAGGATGGGAACCCGGCCGTGGTGACGACGCTGACCCCACCGGCGCCGCCGGCGCCGTCGCCGCTCACCAGCTCGTCCGTCACCTGCACCACCCTGTAGGTGACCTGCACCATGCGCAGAGGCACGCACCGGCTAAAGGCCCCCGGCACGCTGTGCCAGCTTCAGCGTGCCACCTCCTTTGCCAGCACCAAAATGTGAGAATCCGTTCTCCGATGTTTACGCTATACTCTATCATGAAAAATTACAACAGTAATATTTTTAAACATTATTTTTACACACGTAGGCTTTCGCGACCAATATTATTCATAATAAAGGTTTTTGGGTTAGATCGCGTTTATTTATGAATGTGTCGTAACCCTCCACCACCCGACACGGCCAATCAGCAAAAAAAAAGTGTCACGTTGACAAAAGACAAATAATTCACTACTTCAGCCCACCGGTGCGTTGAAGCGTATTATTAAATAATACACATTACATTTTGATTTAAAGAATTACTAATCTACAACTCATTACTAATCATAACCAATGACTGATTACTAATCGATTATATAATTACATTACCCCCCCTCCGCCTCTAATCACTGCACCTGATGAGTTAAGTGATGACGTCACCCTGCTGCTCTATATAAAACCGGGAGCAAGCGAGGGCTTTACCATTCTGGCGAATTGCCCGATGATGCTGGAAGTATTTACCAGCGAAACGTCGTACTCAAACTGTAAATGTTGTGGATTAACTCTTCAACACACCGGTGGGCTGAAGTAGTGAATTATTTGTCTTTTGTCAACGTGACACTTTTTTTTGCTGATTGGCCGTGTCGGGTGGTGGAGGGTTACGACACATTTATAAATAAACGCGATCTAACCCAAAAACCTTTATTATGAATTATTTTTACACGCTTCCATTTAACTCACTCTGTCTGTTGTTGTTGTTGTATCCTCAAATCGTGTAACTCAATTTTAACCCGGTGGCCAATGTGGTATCGACTGCAAACTTGGTAAACTTATGTCCTACTGATAACAATATTATATTCTTTCATTAAAATTTTTAAAACATAATATTTTTAAACATTAATTTACACGCTTTCTATTAACTCAGTCTGTTGTTGTTGTATCCTCAAATCTTGTAACTCAATTTTAACCCGGTGGCCAATGTGCTATTGACTGCAAACTTGATATACTGATGTCATACTGGTGACAATACTATCTTCTATCATTAAAAATTAAAACGTAATATTTTTAAACATTATCTTTACACGCTTTCGATTAACTCAGTCTGTTGTTGTTACATCCTCAAATCTTGAAACTCAATTTTAACCCACTTCACAATGTGGTATCGACTGCAAACTCGGTATACTTATGTCACACTGGTGACGTAAGTATATTCTATCATTAAAAAATAAAATAAAACATTTTTAAACAATTTTTTTTACGTGTTATGTTTCAGCTTGGGTCTAATTGTCCACGCTCAACTGACGCTGGCTGTAAATCACCACGGGTCCCCTTACGTTGTGGCAAGCTTCGGGGCCACTTCCTGGAGTCGTGGAGTTCTTACATTACTAGTAAGGTACGCTTCTTTAAAGCGTGCTTTTTAAAATAGTTTTTTTTATATTACTTTTTTCTGCCAACAAAACAGCTGCGCTGAGATGTTAAAACACCAAACTGAAACCTTTTACCAAGGGACCGTGTCTGCGTTAACCACAATGCTTGTGGTCAGAATGCAAAGAAAAAACACACACTGATATTATCTGCATTTCGATTTAAAGCTTTCGTGACTGCAAGGATTCATCTTCTTTGGTTATTTCGGTAAAGTCACCACGTAGAATGAGAATAAAAAAATAAATTGATAAAATAAAATAACACAATAATATTCTCACGACGTTTCGGCCACAAGGACAGCGCTGGAGTGTCCTTCAGACAGTCTCGTCCCTTCACCTGATGAAGGCCGCTTGTGTTGTGGCCGAAACGTCGTGAGAATATTATTGTGTTATTTTATTTTATCAATTTATTATTTTATTATCATTCTACGTGGTGACTTTACCGAAAGAACCAAAGAAGATTATCTGCATTGTCTGTTAAACTGATTGGTCCAACACCAGAAACACGATTCCTTGGTAAAAGGTTTCAGTTTGGTGTTTTAACAACTCAACACGGCTGTTTTGTTGCCAGAAAAAAGGGGAAAAACCTATTATCATATTTTGGTACTGGCAAAGGGAGGGTCCCCGTGATGTAGATGCTCTACCACCGAGCCCTCATTAATTACTCTGATAGTGTCGTTGTCTTTGTGCTGTGTGACGCCTTTTGGCGTCCTCTGGTCTAACGCCGCTTTGAGACGAGGCTCAAAAGAAAGCCGTCTCTGGTACGGACCAATCAGTTTCAAAGACAATGCCCACATTTATTATCAGAGTGTTTTGTTGGCATTCTGACCACAGGCACTGTGGTTAACGCAGACATGGTTCCTTGGTAAAAGGTTTCAGTTTGGTGTGTTAACGTCTCAACACGGCTGATTTCGGCTGTGCAAGCTTTCGAATTTGTTTTGCGAGCTTACGATAATAAGAACGATCTAGATTTGAAGCTTGCGTGGATGCAGGAATCCATACTCTTTGGTTCTTTCCCGTAAAGCCGTCACGTAGTTAGAAAATAACATGACAGATGACGACGTTTCGATCGCCACGCAAAGCAATCGTCTCTGGCCACCTGAGGACGATTGCTTGCGTGGCGATGGAAGCGCAGCGATCTATTATTCCTTCTGCCTACATGACTTTACCGAAAGAACCAAACAATAACACTAATACCAATTTAACAATCAAAATGTTTTTTTTATATATATAAAATAATGTTTTTTTTTGGGTTAGGTCGCATAAGTATAGATGCGTCAAAAACCGTCCAACGACTGACACAGCAAAGTGAGGTTTGTCCCGTGAACAAAGCGCCAAACGCATTCTCCTGCGGAAGGGTGCTGGTAGGAACGTCGGGTTGGCTCGGTCAATGGGCAGGGTCAACAACAACGGAGGCACCACCACCACCACGTGGTGTGTTCAGCACCACGTGGTGTGTTCCGCACAATATGCCCGACTGTGAGGGGCAGGCACAAGCCGGCGTGAGTAGGTGAAACGTTGAGTTTTATAAGGGGGGCACCACGGGGTGACCAGCCCCTCCCCCCACCCAGCCCCACCACTCCCACCCCCCACCCAGCCCCTCCCCACCCTCCCCACCCAACCCCACCCAGCCCCTCCCCACCCAGCCCCTCCCAGCCAATTTTTGGATGCACGACGGACGGACAGACACAATAATCCCCTGTGGGCTGGTGTAACCAGGAGGTTCCTACACAGTATTAGTTTACTACTTCAGCCTTCCTGTGTGCTGAAGAGTAAATCCACAACACACGATGGAACCCAAAAACCTTCATCATGCATAATGTTGGTCGCGAAATCCTACGTGTGCGTCTTCACGTTGAACTTCGTTCGCACCGTACATAGCCGACCCCGCGAATCGGAGGTACATTAGCCCCTCCACCAGCTGACAAGATTGCAGACAGATTGTATTGATTTCAGCAGCGAGGGCCCAATAGGCTGTTAGGCTCTGTGATTTTATGGGTGTCTTGCACTGGTACAGGTGTCATACATTCGCACCTCCGATGAGCATGGTTGGCTACGTACGGTGACACTGCCCACAGACTCACACTCTCCATTGACTGACACTGTCTATTAGCTCACACTGCACCATAGACTCGACACTGCACCATATACTCGACACTGCACCATAGACTCGACACTGCACCATAGACTCAACACTGCACCATAGACTCAGCACTGCACCATAGACTCAACACTGCACCATAGACTCAACACTGCACCATAGACTCAACACTGCACCATAGACTCGACACTGCACAATAGACTCGACACTGCACCATAGACTCGACACTGCACCATAGACTCAACACTGCACCATAGACTCAACACTGCACCATAGACTCAACACTGCACCATAGACTCAGCACTGCACCATAGACTCAACACTGCACCATAGACTCAACACTGCACCATAGACTCAGCACTGCACCATAGACTCAACACTGTACCATAGACTCAACACTGCACCATAGACTCAACACTGCACCATAGACTCAACACTGCACCATAGACTCGACACTGCACCATAGACTCAACACTGCACCATAGACTCAGCACTGCACCATAGACTCAGCACTGCACCATAGACTCAACACTGACAATACTCAGCACTGCACCATAGACTCAGCACTGCCTATAGACTCAACACTGCACCATAGACTCAACACTACACCATAGACTCAACACTGCACCATAGACTCAACACTGCACCATAGACTCAACACTGCCCATTCATTCTAGATTTGAAGCTTTCGTGACTGCAAGGATTCATATTCTTTGGTTTTTTCGGTAAAGTCACATCCAAATGGACGTTGCGAAAGCTGAAATAGCCACTATCCTCAAAAATGTTAAGAAACCTATTAGCAACATGAGCAAAAACGAGCGTTCTGAACTCGCAAATCCTCTCAGCCGACAAGGGCAATGCCACTGTCATCATGGATAAAAACTCATACAACAAAATCCAGGAGCTACTCAGTGATGGCAACTACTCCAAAATCAATAGAGATCCGACTAATAGCCTAACTACTAAAACCAACAAGGTCATCACTAATTCGACTTCCCTAATGGAACCAATCAAACGGCTCTCCCTGAAACCCTCGGCTGCGAGACCTCCCAGATTCTATGGGCTTCCCAAGATCCATAAAGAAGGTACCCCACCACAACCCATCGTGTCCACGATCAACTCCCCTACCTACAAGCTAGCCCGTTTCCTGTCGGATACTCTGCTTCCCTTCACTGGCAAGACCACCTCAGCAGTACTTAACTCACTTGGTCTCTGTAGTCAAGGACATTGTACTATCTACTGATGATGTCCTCGTCAGCTTTGATGTGGCCTCTCTGTTCACCAAGGTTCCAGTGCCTGACACCATAACAATAATTGAAGATTTAGTCCAACATGGACTGAACCCTGATGTACCTGCGCTGGTTAGGCACTGCCTCACCAACACTTACTTCACCTGGAATGGTACCTTCTACAAACAAAATGAGGGCACCCCTATGGGCTCCCCCTTGTCACCAGTGATAGCCAATGTTTTCATGGAGAAATTTGAAACGGACGCCATCCAGACATCCACCCTGCGTCCTTCCCTGTGGAAGAGATACGTGGATGATACTTTCGTCATTTGGCAACATGGCCTCCAAACATTGAACCAATTTCTCGACCACTTCAACTCCATACGCCCGTCCATCAAATTCACCATGGAAGTGGAGAATGATGGCAAGCTACCATTTTTGGATGTTCTGTTTGAAAGGAGGCCCAATGGCTCTTTGGGGACATTCTGTCTACAGGAAGGCCACCCACACAGATTCCTACCTGAAGCCTGATTCCCACCACCATCCGGCACAAAAGAATTCCCTCATCAAAACGCTATACCATAGGGCCCATTGCATCTCTGACCAACACCACCTGGCCAGTGAATTGGAACATGTAAATCTGGCCCTCAAGATGAACGGACACTCGGACCGTGCTATCCGCTAAGCTGTTTCTCCCAACGTGGAGAAACAACCCACTGAGACTCCGATCAAAATCATTACGTTGCCATACAGAGCAGGCGTTACAAAAAATATTTCCAAAATTCTAAACAAACACAAGATCCAGGTCCGATTCAGTACAGTACACAAGATCCGTGATCTGATCCCATCTGTAAACGATGTCATTGCTGGTGTCTACAAACTGAGTTGCACCTGTGGGGATTGTTACATCGGGGAAACGAAACGACATATTTCTGATCGCATTCGCGAGCACAAGTTGGATCTGAAACATGGCAGGACGGATTCTTCGGCCGTTGCCGACCACTGTTATAATGCTGCTGGCTCTCATGACAATGTTCTCCGATACCAAGGTGCTCTGCAAGCCTCCTGGATACTACCAAAGATTTGTCCATGAAGCCATCCAGATATACAAACATAGACATAACTTCAACCGAGATGATGCATTCAAATTGAGCAATCGTTGGAAAGATGTAATTATTAACCGAGTCAAACTTTCGCTACCGGGCAGTTTACTGCTAGACAGCCGGTTTAGATGTATTTTCATAAACATACCTACATTCCCAGTCTGTTACCCCCAGTTTTACACACTACCATCGCCATTGTAGTGTGTACCACAAGTTGTTTTTTAGAGCTTGCACACTTCACTTTGAACTCCTTACGTTGTTAGCCTGTGCATTTCTAACTTGCCCACCCGGCAGCATAACAAAAGGCGGCCTAATCCTGGCTTGCTTATCTACTTCCGCCACCAAGATCACAAAGTCTCAGTCAGCGGCACCACCAGTTGCCTCCCTGTGCACCCTCGGTTGTGCAACTTCTCCTCCCAGCCCACACACCCCGCCCCCACACTCACCATGCCTCCCCCCCACCTCCCTCCATGCCCCGCGACTACTATATAATCCACTATATAATCCCTCGTCACAGCCATCTCTGAGACACACTTTAAGCGTTTGTGCTTTCGCTCAGTTGTCCCCACCTGAAGAAGGACGCTTGTGTTGCGCCCGAAACGTCGTGATTTAATTTAGTTTTCAATTTTTTGGTTTATTTTTTTTTTACCTGCGTGACTTTACCGAAAGAACCAAAGAATATCAACACTGCCCATATACTCAGCAATGCCCACAGAGTCAACACTGCACCATAGACTCAACACTACTCATAGACTCAACACCACACATATACTCAGCACTACACCAAAGACTCAACACTGCCCATAGACTCAACACTGCCCATATACTCAGCACTGCACCAAAGACTCAACACCGCCCATATACTCAGCACTGCCCATATACTCAACACTGCCCACAGATAACCCACAGACGTTTTCAACCTCGGTTACAAAGCATAAAAAAAAACGCAAAACCGGCAAGTGCAAGTGGATGCCTTCAAACGCTGACAAACGGAGAGGCGATTCAAACAGACACGACACACACACACACACGCACGCACACACACACGCGCACACACACACGCGCACACACACGCGCACACACACGCGCACACACACACGCGCACACACACACACGCGCACACACACACACACCAACAACAACCGCCATTCGCCACTAAGTGGCGGTGACGTCACCACGACGCTTGTGCCAGGCCATGTGCACCCTGAGGCCACGTGAAGTGTCGAACGCCCGCTGGCAGGAGGTCACGGGGCAGACCCACACACGCACACACGCGCACACACACACACATGCGCACACACGCACACACGCGCACACACACACACATGCGCACACACGCACACACACACACGCGCACACACACGCACACACACACACACGCACACGCACGCACACACACGCACACACACGCACACACACGCGCACACACGCGCGCACGACACCGTGCCGAAAAGAGCTCCGGCAATCCAAACCTAGGGAACCGACGGACGAAGGTGAACGTCGCGAGCGGACGACGCCGACGGCTCACCTGCCCGCTGCACGACTCGGTCCGGAACTGGTACTGGATGTTTCCGTTCGCGCCGAACGCGGCCCCCGCGATTGCCTCGCTGGCCTGGTCGTCACTCACGTCCGCATCTGCTGCCGCGGGGGCCATGGCGGGGGGGGGGGGGGCGGAGAGGGGGGGGGGGGGAGGCGGGAGAGGGGCGGCTGGTTAAGAGTTAATATTGCTAGCATCGTCGTTATTTCAACTTAAAAATCCGCAGCCTTACACGAAAAAAATACTTTTACACTCCACTACTCCTCCACTCACGAACATTCGACTCACGGACTTTCACAGATACGAACAAACCTGCCCGTATGTCCGGTTGCCTGTTCGGACCCAGAGTCGGGAGTTCAACCGCTGTGCAATAGATGCCGGTGGTGGCGTCTACATCTGCAGAACGTGAAGAGCCAGTGGCATCTACATCTGCAGAACGTGAAGAGCCAGTGGCATCTACATCTGCAGAACGTGAAGAACCAGTGGCATCTACATCTGTAGAACGTGAAGAACCAGTGGCATCTACATCTGCAGAACGTGAAGAGCCAGTGGCATCTACATCTGCAGAACGTGAAGGACCAGTGGCATCTACATCTGTAGAACGTGAAGAACCAGTGGCATCAACATCTGTAGAACGTGAAGAACCAGTGGCATCTACATTTGCAGAACGTGAAGAACCAGTGGCATCAACATCTGCAGAACGTGAAGGACCAGTGGCATCTACATCTGTAGAACGTGAAGAACCAGTTGCATCTACATCTGCAGAACGTGAAGAACCAGTGGCCTCTACATCTGCAGAACGTGAAGGACCAGTGGCATCAACATCTGCAGAACGTGAAGAACCAGTGGCATCTACATCTGTAGAACGTGAAGAACCAGTGGCATCTACATCTGCAGAACGTGAAGAACCAGTGGCATCTACATCTGCAGAACATGAAGAACCAGTGGCATCTACATCTGTAGAACGTGAAGAACCAGTGGCATCTACAGAGCGTGAAGAACCAGTGGCATCTACATCTGCAGAACATGAAGAACCAGTGGCATCTACATCTACCTAACATGAAGCACCAGCGGCATCTACATCTGCAGAACGTGAAGAACCAGTGGCATCTACATCTGCAGAACATGAAGAACCAGTGGCATCTACATTTGCAGAACGTGAAGAACCAGTGACTTCAACATCTGTAGAACATGAAGAACCAGTGGCATCTACATCTACCTAACATGAAGCACCAGCGGCATCTACATCTGTAGAACGTGAAGAACCAGTGGCATCTACATCTGCAGAACATGAAGAACCAGTGGCATCTACATCTGTAGAACATGAATAACCAGTGTCATCTACATCTGTAGAACATGAAGAGCCAGTGGCATCTACATCTGCAGAACGTGAAGAGCCAGTGGCATCTACATCTGCAGAACGTGAAGAACCAGTGGCATCTACATCTGCAGAACGTGAAGAACAAGTGGCTTCTACATCTGCAGAACATGAAGAACCATTGGCATCTCCATCTGCAGAACATGAAGTAACAGTGGCATCTACATCTGCAAAACGTGAAGAACCAGTGGCATCTACAACTGCACAACGTGAAGAACAAGTGGCATCTACATCTGCAGAACATGAAGAACCATTGGCATCTCCATCTGTAGAACATGAAGAACCAGTGGCATCTACATCTGCAGAACATGAATTACCAGTGGCATCTACATCTGCAGAACGTGAAGGACCAGTGGTATCTACATCAGAATATAAAGAACCAGTGGCATCTACGTCTACAGGAGATTATACAACTTTTAAAGCCATTCCCCGTGTTCAGTGTGCACACCGTACAAAATTTTGGAATCGAGGTGAGTGAAGTTGGACTTAAAAACAAATCGACTTTCGAACAGACCTCTGGAACCTAACTCGTTCGTAGGTACAGGAGTGCCTGTAGTCTAGTAGTATATAATGTAGTGTAGTAGTATCTAGTAGTGTCGTAGTATATAATGTATAGTAGTGTATAATGTATAGTAGTACTGCACATGCCATACAACGTGTTTGGAATCGACAGGCGTAAAGTTGGACATCGTGAACAAAATCTACTTGTGAACAGACACCTGGGGAACCTAAATTGTTCATAAGTAGAGAAATCCCTGTACTGTAGTGTAGCAGTATATAATGCAGTGTAGAAGTATAGAGCAGTTTACCCTGAAACAAAAACTCAACAGTTCATATGGCTAAACACTTTCCCACGCCTCTTTTTCCTTTTTGCTAATTGACTTCAAGGGCCCATTGCAATTGCTATTAATTCACTTATAAGTTTAAAAAACGCGAGAGGAAAAATAAAATCACCGAGTCTGCACGAGAAAGAGATTTTGATTTAAAGCTTTCGTGACTGCAGTAATTCATATTCTTAGCTCTTTCGGTAAAGTCACGTTAAAGGGAAACAATAAAATAATAAAATATATATAAAACAATAAAAATTCTCACGACGTTTCGACCATAGCACAATCATTCTTTCAAATGTTTCTTGCCGTTGCTTTTCACACCTGATGATGACCGTTTGCGTTATGGTCGAAACGTCGTGAGAATTTTTATTGTTCCACATATATTTTATTCTTTTATTGTTTCCCTTCAACGTGACTTTACCGAAAGAGCTAAGAACAGAGAAAGAGATGTTTCCCACCGGCCAAAACGGAAAACGCCGATTGCAAACAAAGCCAGAGCCGAGGTCTAAGCGTGCTCTTGAATGACCGTCGCCGATTGGCTGCAGGGCGCAGCTTAGAGAGCCCCCCCCCGCCCACGCCCCCACTGCTTACAAGTGATCGGATTGGCCGAAACTGTCGCCACCGCGTGCCTATAACGTACCCGTGCCGTCAGTCGGAATATTTGCACGTCGGTCGAGACCGTGCGGGCGTTCGCGATGGGAAAATCCGTCAACCGATGTCGCCGTTCATCGAGGGAACTATTGTACACGGGGGGGGGGGAGGGGGGGGGAATCATACCGGACGTTCGTGAAACGTAAAAAAAAATCGAGCCTCGTAGCTTCTTAGGAGAGAGCAGACGTTGAGCGAATATTGGAGAGTGCGCGCAAGAGCGTGGTCCCCTTGGACGCGGTGACGACGCGAGAATAAGAGAGAGAGAGAGAGAGTCACAATTGCAAGCCAATATAAATCCACCGATTGTAGCAACGCGAATAAACGCGGTTAACTTGAGAAGTCTTCTCCGACCAGATTTTCTCTTGGGGCAGGGAGGCGGGTATGACATTCCTGAGAAGCGGAGTGATAAACTTTTGACGCGTGTGTAAATCATCTCGTTCATATTTAAACTGCGGATTGTCGCATCTCCCAAGCAATCACCCTCTCTCTCAACGCTCAAGTGTCTAGCGGCGCCCAATAGATTGACTGATCGCCTTTACAAAGACAAGGAGGACATGTCATTTGTTTTCTTCAAATATATATTTTTTTTAAATTACCCAACGGCCTCTATTGCCACCACCACCCTCCCCCCCCCCCGCCCCCCCCCCCACAAAAGCCACCCCACACCAACCCACCTCCGCCCTGTCTCGTTCCACGGACACACTTTGATCAAAACATTTCGGAGCAATCTGTCTCCTCTAAACAAACACGAGCAAGCTGGCGAGGCCACGCTCCGTGCTCGCTCCACACACTCCACACGCTCGTTCGAACAGTCTCACAATGCCATACGCGGGGGGGGGGGACAATTACCGGGAGTTGTTTAAAATAAAAAAAGATCTTGTGACAGGACCGACCGCTGCTTCTGCTGACAATGGCCGTGGCTACGGGATAAACAAAAAAAAATGGAGGTGCAGAGGATGCGGCGAGCGGAGAGGTTAGGGCGGACGGGGGGAAGGGGTTGTGTAGTTAATCGCGTGGGGATGGCTGCGGAGGTGTCAAGCCAACAAAGATAAACAAACAAAACACTTGAATCGGCGCTATCGTCACTGCAGGAATTACTCTTTGGTTTTTTTGGTTCGGTAAAGTCGCGTAGACATAAGAAATAATGAAATTACATAATAGCGTACGACGTTTCGATTGCACTGGTGTGTCCTGTGTTAATTCCCTCCACTCAAGGTCCCTCCCACCTGATGATGATCGCTTGTGCTGCAATCGAAACGTCGTATGCTGTTACGTAATTTTACTCTTTCTTATTTCTACGTGACTTTGCCGAAAAAAACCATAGAGTAAACTAAAAAAACTATCTTTGTTACCCCCCCCCCTCTCTGAGGTATGCAGCTCTTTTTTCGTTTTGTCAGATCCGACCGGGCCACAATTGATAGCTCAATGAAGTGGCTTGTCATTGCCATCGTCTTGACGTGGAAATGTGTAGCGACAAAATACGCTGGATGCGTGATGTCGATTCTGAATGTGGGGGAGTAAAAGCGGAGGACCCGGAGAAAAATCCACGTGACCAAGGGCAGAGAGAGAGAGACGCGCAAACTCCAAATATACAGCAGCAGGCGTCAGGGTCGGGATCGAACCCACGACCTCCTGTACACCAGGCGAGGTAGTTAACATCTCATAGCCACCGTGATTATGATGATGAGAGAGAGAGACGCGCAAACTCCAAATATACAGCAGCAGGCGTCAGGGTCGGGATCGAACCCACGACCTCCTGTACACCAGGCGAGGTAGTTAACATCTCATAGCCACCATGATGATGATGATGAGAGACGCAAACTCCAAATAGACAGCAGGCATCGTCAGGGTCGGGATCGAACCCACGACCTCCTGCATACCAGGCGAGGTAGTTAACATCTCCTAGCCACCGTGTAGCCTTAACAGACTGTAGGGGGCAAGTGCTGTTAGCGAGCAGCACCTATGAAGGCCGGCACGGCGCACGAGTGTGGTGGGTGGCCAGCAACCACGCCCCCGGGGCCCGCGCCCCTTTGCCTCTCCCCCAGCGGCGACGTTGGCTGCACCACCGCCGCCCAGGTGCCCACTGGAGAGGCAGAGTCGACCTAGGGGAGGAGGGCCCCAGGACCGGCTGTTCAGAGAATCGTCGGCGGTGGCCGTGAGGTCGCGGGGGTTCGGAACTCGGCCGGTGGCCGGGTTCGCAACCGCGGCGCGGCGATAACCCCAAGCGAGATCTCGCTCCCCACGACCCAACGCGCCAAGGCAAAGACGGCCGGCCGGCCACCTTAACGAGGCTGCTGGGGGGGGGGGGGGGGGGGGGGGGTGGGGGGAAGGGCCAAGCGCTGTTAAGCGAGCGGAAGACACCCGTGAAGGCCGGGGGGCACTGCGGAGCCCCGGGCTTGCAGCGCGGCCCACGTTAAACCACAACCACCACCACCACCACGACCGGCCCCCTCCCCAGTCCAACCCCCCCCCCCCCACCACCACCACCTCGCCCACCCCCCGCTCACATCGCCCCCCCCCCCCGACGCACTCACCCACCACCGTTTTCTCACCTTCAGGAAGCTGTGCGGTCTCCTCATCCCCCTCTTGCCCTTTCTCCTGTCTGCGGTGGAGCACACAAACACAGAGAGAAAGGTGGTGGGTGGCGGGGACAGGAAGCCTCTGGGACGTCAACAGAGGATGAGGAGGCGCGCGGGGGCAGTGATGGCAAAGGCGGCGTGGTGGTGGTGGTGGTGGGGGTGGTGGGGGTGGTGGTGGTGGTGGTAGTGGTGGCGGTGGTGGTGGTGGGGGTGGTGGTGGTGGTGGTAGTGGTGGTGGTGGTGGTAGTGGTGGTGGTGGTAGTGGTGGTGGTAGTGGTGGTGGTGGCGGTGGTAGTGGGGGTGGTAGTGGTGGTGGTAGTGGTGGTGGTGGGGGTGGTGGGGGTGGTGGTGGTGGTAGTGGTGGTGGTGGGGGTGGTGGTGGTGGTAGTGGTGGTGGTAGTGGTGGTAGTGGTGGTGGTAGTGGTGGTGGTGGCGGTGGTAGTGGGGGTGGTAGTGGTGGTGGTGGCGGTGGTAGTGGGGGTGGTGGCGGTGGTGGTAGTGGGGGTGGTGGCGGTGGTGGTAGTGGGGGTGGTGGTGGTGGTGGTAGTGGGGGTGGTAGTGGGGGTGGTGGTGGGGGTGGTGGTGGTGGTGGGGGTGGTGGTGGTGGTGGTGGCGGTGGTGGTGGTGGTGCCACCGGCCTTTCCTCCGCCCCCCCCCCCGCTCTTAGCATTCTCCGAACTTTATCTGAAAGGTGCCGTACAGCGACGTCAGAGGTTACACCGCAGGGAGCGGGGGGGGGGGGCGGTGGGGGGGGGGGGGGGGGGGGGGGGGGGGGGGGGGCACGGGGGGGGGGGAGGGGGGACGCTTTCATTCGCCACTGGCATTTCGCGCGGGTCAAGCGATGGCGCCGGCGATCGCATTACGGAGTCTTCAGCGACGGAGTGGCGCGTTGCAGACTGCCGCTCTTAAAATCCCCGTTTTATTTTCTCTCCATTTTTGTTTATTTCCCACCCCACCGCCGCCCCCACACGCACACACACGCGCACACACACACGCACACACACGCACACACACACACACACGCACACACACGGGCACGCACGCACACACACGCACACACACGCACACACGCACACACACACACACACACGCACACACACGCACACACACACGCACACACACGGGCACGCACGCACACACACGCACACACACGCACACACGCACGCACACACACACACACACGCACACACGCACACACGCACACACACTGGGGATGGACTCGCACGCAACCACACACCCGCCCACCTCCCCATTTAGCTTTTTATCGGCGGAGGAAATCAATATTTTATTTTGGTTAATAAGACCAGGCTTGTTCCCCCCTCCTGTGACAGCGGAAATGGTGACCCCCCCCCCCCCCCAACAACCCCCCACCTCAAGCGTCTCCCCCCCCCCCCCACCACCACCGCCCACCCCCCCACCACCCCCCCCACCAATCCAGCCCTGAGCGAGCGACCTGATTAAGTGGATGTCTGCCAAACGACACCCACTCACGGTGCAGTCACTTTAAACGCCGGCGCCAGGGAAGGAGAGATGAGCGGAGGGGAGCGGAGAGGTGAGCGGTGGGGGGTAGAGGTGGGGGGAGAGTGGGGGGTAGAGGTGGGGGGAGAGTGGGGGGGGCAGGCGGGGGGGAAGAGAGTCGTTTAATTTGGACAAGCGCCGACGGAACCGTGCACAGAGACGACACCACAGTGGCTTGACACGTGCCCAAAAAAAAAAAAAAACCCCTTCGGACGGACCATCATCGCGGGCTGATCGCCGTCAAAAATCGCGCAATCGGATTTTCAAACGGCTTGGGTGGTCGGGGCGAAAACGAAGGCCGGCAACCCCCAACCCCCCAAGGGCAAGGCTTGGCTCGGCAGCAGAACGCGAAAGGAGGGGGGGGGAAGGAGTGGTGGTGGAAGAGACAGCAGGTGGCTGGACCCAGCGGGAGGGAAACCTCGCGAGCCTGGTCCACACGTTTGTCTTACAACAAGACGGGCGGGCCCCCCTTGGAGGAGGAGGGGGGGGGGGTGGGTGGGCGGGGGGATTATTGCAACGGATTTTAAAATCGCCGTCGATATTTGATATCCATTCGACTGCTTTGGGATGGAGCAGTCGAATGGATAATAATGGTAGTAATAATAATAATAACAGCGACGGTAGTCTTTCGCGAGCAATATTATCCACGAGAGGTATTCTTTTTTTCTTTTTGGGTCGCATCGAGCGAATCTCAGCGCGTCGTTAAACCCGCCGCCGCCGCCGCCAATTAGTAAGGTTTGTCACGGGAACAAAACGTGCCAATTAAGCTGCTAGTTCGGCACACACACCGGTGGGTTGGGAGAGAAATTGTAAATGTTGGCGGTTTACACCCCGGCACAGACCGGTGTGCCGAACTACAGTAAAAGCTTGGATTGCGGGTGACTTGGCCTGCGAGTGTTTTGCAAGACGGGCAATTTTTTTTGAAATAAATATTAATTTGATAAACGAGCGAGGGTCTTCTTGCAATACGAGTAGTGGTACGTGTACACGCTTTGTACTGCCGAACGTCACGTGATCACAACCGATGTACGAGTGCTTTGATATACGAGTGCTTTGGATTAAAAACACGTTTCCGGGACGAATTATGCTCGCAATCCCAAGGTTTTAACTGTAGGTCCTTCCTGCTCGGCACGTTTTGCTTACGTGAAAAAACCTCACTGAACGGCCGTGTCGGGTGGTGGCGGGTTAAACGACACACATTTATATTTACCGCGCTATCTAACCCAAATAGACCTCTATTAAAACAGAGTTGCTGCCGACACATTCCGCCGGCAAAAACCCGAACAGGTCAAGAGTCCGCTTGCTTAAACAAATAGCGCTGGATAATATTGATCTGGAAAGCAAATGGGACTCAAAAAATTACATTTTATTCATATGTGGAGACAGACAGCTTTATTTATATACGTGCTTTGACCTCATCATCAGACTGTTCCTATGTACGTTAAACTTCTTCCGCCCTGCACGTTAGCCAACCGTGCCAATCGTAGGCGCGGTGGAAGGGCAATCTAAACGCAAAGCAGTTCGAAGAAACGAGTTCGTCAAACTAGACCAGCGGTCCCCAACCTTTTTGGCACCAGGGACCGGTTCCGTGGAAGACAATTTTTTTCACGGACCAGGGGAGGGGGGAGGGGAGGGTTCATCATTGGGTCTTTCCCCCTTTTCAAAGAAGCTCTCTCCAGCGACGTTTCTTCGTTACTCGTTGTGGCTACCAGGGCTTAGGGCTCGTGGGCTCACCAACACCACTGCGACTGACACTGAGCGCGCGGTGCGGGAACAGAGGCGCGGACGGGAGTGGTCAATAATAAAATAATGGCGTGGCCACGCGTGGACTCGCCGCTATCACCTCCTCCTGCTGTGCGGCCCCCGGTTCCTAACAGGCCACGGACCGGTGGGCCCGGAGGTTGGGGACCCCTGATCTAGATGATTTCAAAGCGCATAACTCCAACGGCTTCCTAATATCGCAAGAAAGAGCGTTGCGCAGACGGCCTCAGGGCCGCGCCCAAAAGCTCCGTGCGCGATGAGGTGACCACCTTCTTTGCTCGACGGCCAACCCAAAAGTCACTGCTGCTGCTGCTGCGGCGGCGGCGAGGATGACGGGAATTCGCCCGGTGATGATTTATGCCCCTTAAACGAGATCGGCGAGCTGGTGCGGTTCATTTGCAACGAGCGCTTTGGAAGATTAATGGATTGATATCCAAGCAACGGGGAACCCGGCTTCTTTTTATCTCGAAGACGCCGAACAGAATTTAATTTCACCGTCAGAACTGCACGGGTGGCGCAGCTGCAGTGAGGGAAAAAAAGTATTTGATCCCCTGCTGATTTTGTAAGTTTGCCCACTGACAAAAAAATGATCTGTCTATAATTTTAATGGTAGGTTTATTTGAACAGCGAGACACAGAATAACAACCAAAAAATTCAGAAAAACGCATGTCAAAAATGTTAAAAAATTGATTTGCATTTTTATGAGGGAAAGATGTATTTGACCCCTCTGCAAAACATGACTTAGTACTTGGTGGCAAAACCCTTGTTGGCAATCACAGAGGTCAGACGTTTCTTGTAGTTGGCCACCAGGTTAGCGCACATCTCAGGAGGGATTTTGTCCCACTCCTCTTTGCAGATCTTCTCCAAGTCATTAAGGTTCCGAGACTCATGTTTGGCAACTCGAACCTTCAGCTCCCTCCACAGATTTTCTATGGGATTAAGGTCTGGAAACTGGCTAGGCCACTCCAGGACCTTAATGTGCTTCTTCTTGAGCCACTCCTTTGTTGCCTTGGCCGTGTGTTTTGGGTCATTGTCATGCTGGAATACCCATCCACGACCCATTTTCAATGCCCTGGCTGAGGGAAGGAGGTTCTCACCCAAGATTTGACGGTACATGGCCCCGTCCATCGTCCCTTTGATGTGGTGAAGTTGTCCTGTCCCCTTAGCAGAAAAACACCCCCAAAGCATGTTTCCACCTCCATGTTTGACAGTGGGGATGGTGTTCTTGGGGTCATAGGCAGCATTCCTCCTCCTCCATACACGGCGAGCTGAGTTGATGCCAAAGAGCTCCATTTTGGTCTCATCTGACCACAACACTTTCACCCAGTTGTCCTCCCAATCATTTAGATGTTCATTGGCAAACTTCAGACGGGCATGTACATGTGCTTTCTTGAGCAGGGGGACCTTGCGGGCGCTGCAGGATTTCAGTCCTTCACGGCGAAGTGTGTTACCAATTGTTTACTTGGTGACTATGGTCCCAGCTGCCTTGAGATCATTGAGATCCTCCCGTGTAGTTCTGGGCTGATTCCTCACCGTTCTCATGATCATTGCAACTCCACGAGGTGAGATCTTGCATGGAGCCCCAGGCCGAAGGAGATTGACAGTTCTTTTGTGTTTCTTCCATTTGCGAATTATCGCACCAACTGTTGTCACCTTCTCACCATGCTGCTTGGCAATGGTCTTGTAGCCCATTCCAGCCTTGTGTAGGTCGATAATCTTGTCCCTGACATCCTTGGGGAGCTCT